CTTGCTAGGCTGGCACTTGAATCACAACCCCAGGCCAGCATTTGGCTGGTTATTTGGGGATGAAATCTCAATGATTTTTCTTTTCTGGGCTGGTTTCAAACCACAGTCTTACAGATCCGAATCTCCTGAATTGCTAAGATTAAGGCCCAGGCTACAGGTGATTTGGTTTTTTTCAAGAAAAAAAAAAAGTTGGCAGTGACATGGGAAAATTGGAACTCTCATACATTTCTAGTGTGAGAGGAAGGTAGCCATTGTGAAAAATAGCTAGGAGGCTGCTCCAGTGACACAATTCCATTCTTCTTTATATATTCAACTGGTTGTATATTTTCAGCAACTCAATCAGATATTCTTTTTATTAGTGTGTGTGTGTGTGTGTGTGTGTGTGTGTGTGTGTGTGTGTGTGTGTGTTGATCCTGGGGCTTCAATTCAGAGCCTGGGAATTGTCCTTGAGCTTTGCCACTCAAGGCTAGTTCTCCAGCATTTGAGCCACAGCTCCACTTGAAACTTTTTTTGGTGGTTAATTGGAAATAAGTCTCACAGACTTTCCTGCCTGGGATGGCTTCAAACCTCCATTCTCAGATATCCACTGACATCAAACATACTTTTACACCAACCCACTGAAATACTCATCAGAATGGCCAAAAGGTAAAAACAACCATATATTCAAACAGGTAAATAGACAAAGTAGTTTACTACATACACAATGAAAAATTAATGAAGTTGGTGGTGGCTCACGCCTATAATCCTAGCTACTCATGAGGCTGACATCTGAGGATCATGGTTCAAAGTCAGCCTGGGCAGGAAAGCCCATGAAACTTGACTCTTATTTCCAATTAATCACCAGAAAACTGGAAGTGGTGCTGTGGCTCAAGTATTAGAGTGCTTGCCTTGAGCTCAAGAGCTAAGGGACAGCACCCAAGCCCAGAGTTCAAGCCCCACGACCAGAAAAAAAAAATTAACGAAGTATTTGGCTAGAGGTGTGGCTCAAGTGGGACAGCACCTGCCAAGATGTGATAACCGAAGTTCAAACCCTAGAACCACCAAAAAAAAAAAAAAGGAAGAAAGAAAAGAAAAAAGAAGTGCTAACCTGTTACAACGCTGATTTAAAAAAAAATACACACACACACACACACACACACTCTAGAGGACAAATCTTGCATAATCCATCCATATGAAATGGTTAGAAAAATCCAAAAACAGAAAATAGAACAGAGGTTACTAGAAGCTAGGTGAAAGGGAAGGGAAGTTGTTACCTAATAGTTAGAGTGTCTGCCTAGGATAAGGAGAAGGTTGTAGAGATAGTGGTAATCACCATGCAACTCTGGTGATTAAGGCACTAAACTAAAACTCTTTGAAAAATGACTGACAAAAGGATGAGTGCACACATGTCCACTCAGCTACTCAGGAACCTAAAGCAAAATGATCAGAGTGCAGAAGGAAAGGTCAGCCTGGGCAACACAGTGAGATCCTGTCACAAAAATGAATGAGCCCTGGCGATGGTGGCTCTTGCCTGCAATCCTAGCTACTTAGGAGAATGAGATGCAGAGGACTGTGGTTCAAGAACAGTTTGGGGGGGAGGAAAGGGATGTAGGGGAAAAATAAAGGATGCTCCATAGGAAATGGACTCATTACCTTGCTCATGTAACTGAAACCCATTTGTACAGTATCTTTACAATGCACACATACATACATATATAAAGAAAAAACAACATGTGAGCCAAAAAGAAAAAAAAAGTTTGGACAGAAAAGTTTACAACATTCCATCGCTAAAAAATAACATAGTAAAAATCTAGGCTAGAGAGATGGCTGCAGTGGTAGAGCACCAGCTGAGTGCAAACAAACCCTGATATCCACAAATAGATAAAACTGAATGTTTGGCTGGGTATAGCTCAGTGGTAGAGCATACATTACAGGTCATGGGCTTAATTCAGCACCAAGTATAAACACTTTTAAATGGTTAAAATGGAAGTATTACAAGGCATGATTAGTAAGTTCTTCAGTGTTAAGGATCAAACCTAAGGCCTTAAACACATTAAGCAAGCACTCTACCACTGAGCTACACCCTCAACCCTTTGGTTAAGTAGAATTTTATTAGCAACTTGTAACCTGAATGTAATTTAAAATTTACGGACAAGCTGTAAAAATACAAGAAATCCCTTTTTATTCTTCACCAGTTATCTTACTTTTTGCTCTATCCTTTTTTTCTTTTTTGGTGCCAGTACCAGGGCTTGAACACAGGGCCTGGGTACTGTCTCCTTCAATTTTTTGCACAAGGCTAGCTAGCACTCTACGACTGAAGTCACACCTCTATTTACAGCTTTCAAATGGTTAACTGGAGATAAGTTCAGACTTTCCTCCTGAGCTAGCTTCAAACTGTGTTCCTCGTATCTCAGCCTTTTGTGTAGCTAGGATTAAGAGCAACTAGTGTTCAACAAATTTGCTTTATCTTTAATACCAATTTTCCCTTTACTTAGGATACAAACTAGAAGCATATTTTGCAGAGTTGTCATGTTTAATTTTTCTATCATCTGGATTATTATTTAGCACTTATTTTTTACATTTTTTTCTTTTTGGTTTTGGAGTTTGAACTCAGATTGTACATACTAAGCATGTTGTACCACTGGACTCCACTCCCATCCATTAAAAAAAAATGCAACAAAGTCTTGCTAAGTATTTGGCCTCCTGAGTAGCTGGTGGTACAGGTGTGCACTATCTTGCCTGGCTCCAGTTTCTTGTGCATTTTCTCCTAGTTATTTTGAATATGTACATGTATCCCAAGTTGCCAAGATTTCTCTTAAAAGAAAAACTACAAGTCAGGTCAGGTGAGAAATGGACATGAGATTAAACAAAGTATCATAAAGGATCATTTATGTCAGGTCTAGTAGTACATGCCTATAATTTCAGTTTCTAGAGAAGTATAAACAGGAAGATCACCAGCTCAAGGGCATCTGAGGGAAAGTTAAAGTTTCCAAAACCAAAATGCAAACAAAAGGACTGAGGGTGTAGCTCAAGTGGTAGAATGTATAATGAGGCCCTTGGTTCAAACCCCAAAATTGCTGATAGATAGACAGACAGGTAGGTAAGTAGACAACTGACCCATGTAAGAGTAGACATTGTGCACTGGTTGCTTACATCTGTAATCCTAGCTACTCAAAAAAAGTCTGAGATCTGAGGATCATGGCTCAAAGCCAGCCTGGGCAGGAAAGTCTGTGAAACTCTCTATCTCCAATTAAGTACCAGAAACTCAGTAGTGCTGTAGCTCCAAGTGGTAAGGCACTAGCCTTGTGCTGAAAAGCTCAAGGACAGTGCCTAGGCTCACAAGCCCCATGACTGACAAAATAAACTGTGAAAGGCTAGGGATGTAGATCAATGGTAGTGTTTGCTTAGCATGCATGAGTTTGTCTTAAATACCCACAACAGTGAGATTTATCACTGCTAAGGCAGTGATGAGAGTACATTGAAAAAAAGAAAGTTTCACATCATTAACCCAAACTCCCATTGGAAGAACCAACAAAAACAAAAACAAAAAACAGTAAGTAGAAGGAAGGAAATATTATATAAAGACAAGAATAAAAGTCAATAAAACAGAAAATATAACACAGAAAACAATCTATGAAACACAGAGCTGGTTCTGTGAAAACATCAATAAAATTGACAAAGCTCTAGCAAGACTGATAAAGACACAAATTAGTAACACCAAAAGGTAACCAAGGAATCTTACATACAAACTTGACAAGTGAATGAAGTGAATTCATTCTATGAAAACACAGACCACAACTCACCCAACATGAAATCATTTGAACAGCTGTATTAATTATATTTGGGCTGGGAAGTTAGCTCAGTGGTAGAATGTTTGCCTCACATGCATGAGGCCCTGGGTTCGATTCCTCAGAACCACATAAGCAAAAAAAAAGCTGAAAGTGGCATTGTGGCTCAAGTGGTGGGGCCCTAGCCTTGAGCTGAAGATCTGACTGACAGCGCTCAGGCCCCACTACCAACAACAACAAAAACTCTCAAGAGGCCCAATTCTACACAATTTTCAGAAAATAGGATGACCAAAATAACAAAAAAATCCTATAAGAACACTGGATCGTTTAAATACTATTGGTAGAAGTGTAAAATCAGCCAGGCACAGGTGGCTCACACCTCTAATCCTAGCTCCTTAGGAGTCTTCAAAGCCAGCCTGGGCAGGAAAGCCTGTGAGACTTTTATCTACAATTAACCACCAGAAAGCCATCAAGTCACTCCCCTAAGTCTGAAGTGTAGTTTAGCAGTACTCCATTCCCAGATCTCTGCAAAGAAATGGGTCTGACTCCCAGAACTGCAAAAAACAATTATCAAACCAAACCAAACCCCAGACTGATGGCTCTTTAGTTAATGGCCCTAAGTCAGACCTGGGGACCCCACATTAAACAATCTTTTCAAAACATTCAATAATCTGTTAAGAAAAATGCATCTCTTCTAGCCAAGAAATGACAAAATAATAACCAACAAGCTAAACTTAAGACCTTAGCTAAGTGACTTTTATGATGCCCTGAAAGGATGAAAAAAAACCAGGAACTGTCATTTTCCTGCTATTCACTGCTTTCAAGCAGAATTGTTTGAATATCAAGCAGAATTGCTGATCCGTCTTTGGGAAAGAACATGCTTACAAAGCCAGTGGCTGGTGGCTCACATCTGTAATCCTAGCTACTGAGAAGGCTGAGATCTGAGGATAACAGTTCAAAGCCAGTTTGTTCAGGAAAGTCCATCAGACTTTTCCCCAATTAACCACCGAAAAAGCTGGAAGTAATGTTATGGTTCAAATGGCAGTGTGCTAGCCTTGAGCAGATAAAGCTGAGACAGTGCCCAGGCTTTGAGTTTAAGCCTAAGGACTAGCTCCAAAAAAAATATGTTTGCGGGGACAGGGGTACAGGCTCAGTATATAGCACTTATCTAACACATACAAAGACCTAGGTTTTATTTATTGCACAACAATAAAAGAATGTGTTCACAATTTCGCATTATTTAAATTACCATATTTGAAAAATATTTTATTAGCTTTGTACAACAGTAAAAAAAAGTACACAATTAACAAATTACACAACACCATATAATGTCATCTGCTCAAAATAATTCTGCCATAGTTAAAAAAAAGGTTAAGAAAGTGGTGCTGTAGCTCAAGTGGTAGAGTGCTAGCCTTGAGCTGAAGAGCTGAGAGACAGTGCACAGGGCCAGAGTTCAAGCCCCAGGACTGACAAAAAAAAATGGTTAAGTAAACTATTAGGAAAGGGTGATTCATCAAATGAGTATCTTGGAGAGGAGGTATCTGGGAGCCACTGCATCAATTATATCTTCTTTTTTCTCTGCTTTTGTGACATTTCTGTCACTTTCCTCTTCTTAGTTGACACTAGTCTATTTCCTTTTGTTAGTTTTTTACTGTGACCAGTTAAGCCACATTTCTTTAACTTAGGTTTTAATGTTTCTTCTTCCTGAACCACATCACCAGACACCCTTTTGCTGATCTTGGGCTGTTCTTCACTTACTGAAACACAAGGGAAAGTACATTTAGAAACTGTTTTCCTCCTTTAAGTGAAATAAACAGACCAATGATAAAGTTATCTTCAAACAGTTCAAGACCCTACACTTTCTATACACTTTGAAATAATGAACATCATTTACCAGGAGAGGGCTCTGCTGCTGGAGGCAAGCTCTCTTTTGCATCTGTCCCTCTGTCTAACCACACTCCAAGACATGTCAACCTGGCACTAGTGTTCACTCCACAGAGTAGAGATGGGGGAGTTTTCTAAAAGAGAAGGAGAAAAATTATAGTTAACACAGAAAAATTTTGGATAACTGCTCTTTTTTTCTTTTACCTTAAGACTTATTGTAGTCATAAACAACAAAGTCATATTTCAGTCAACAAGCATGCATGTACAATGCTATATGCCATATGCATCCATGAGCTACACAAACCTACCCCATCTAGGTTTATTTAAGTATATTCTCATGCAATCACCTAACAACACATTCCTTAGAATGCACCCCCCCCAATCAAGTGAAGCATGCCTGTATTTTCTTGAGTGTAACATACAATATTAAAATGCAATCTAAGCAGGCACCAGTGGCTCACATCTGTAATCCTAGCTACTCAGGAGGCTGAGACCTGAGGATCATTAAAGCCAGCCCAAGCAAGAAACTCTGTGAGACCCTTATTTCTAACAAACTACTCAAAAAAAGCTGGAAGTGGCACTGTGGCTCAGATGGTAGAGTGCTCACCTTGAGTGAAAGAAGCTTAGGACAGCATACAGGCTGAGTCCAAGCCCCAGGACCAGAAGAAAAAAAAAGAAACTATCTGTGCTTGACTATGTTATTCAGAGCCAATTTCCAGAAAGTATCTAGCAATTATGAACTCTGAGGACAAAGATTACATCTTGCTCATTTCTGGGCTTAACAAAGAAGCTTGCACAAATCTGATACTAAATAACCCATATTCACGGACTTGTTGATGAGAATAAAAAATAAATTATAGACAGCTAGCTGCCAGTCATTCATGTCTATAATCCTAGCTACTCAAAAGGAACTGAGATCTGAGGACCGTGGTTTGAAATCAGCACTGGCAAGAAAGTCAGTGAAACTTTTATCTCTAATTAACTACTTAAAAAAGGCAGAAATGGAGCTGTGGCTAAGTAGCAGAATGCTAGCTTCAAGCAAAAGAAACTCTGAGACAGCACCCAGACCCTAAGTTCAAGGCCCCAGGACCGCTACTCTTCCCCCACTACCCCCCAAAAAAAACTACAGAGGGAACTTATCTTCATGTTATCTGGCTCAAAACTGTTAGCTCCATACATCAGTCAGCACCTTTTACACTGATTTTAGTAATGGCAGTTTTTTTTTAAATCTCATATCTTACAGAGAATTCTTATTTTTTAAAAAAAGACAAAAAACAAAAACAACCCAGCAAGTCGTTTTTCTCATTAAAAGAACAGGTAGCTCAGAATCTCAAATGCTAACCCCCCCCCCCCCCCGGCAGCTCTGTGGGAAGCCTAACTTTAAAATACAAATATCAATCACTCCTGCAAGAGATCTTAGTGTTTCTGTCTTTGGTTGTTTTTTCTATGCTAGTATTGGGGCTTGAACTCAAGGCCTGGGCTGTTCTTTTAGCTTTTTACTCAAACTAGTGCTCTGCCACTTAAGCCACAGTGCCACTTCTGGCTGTTTGATGGTAACTTGAGCTAAATGTCTCTCAGATTTTCCTGCCTAGGCTACCTTTGAACCTCAATCTTTCGATCTCAGCTTCCTGAGCAGCTAGGATTACAAGCATGAGCCTATGGCACCTGGCCTAGAAGAGATTTTCAAAGCTTATTTTTTAAAACTATGCTTTGTCCTTTAAAAAAAAAATTCTACCTCTTGGGCAAGAGTAATAGCTAAGTCGTAGAATGTTTATGAAAATGTGAGCTAGATTTAATACCTAGCACTAAAAAAAAAAAGGGGTCTACTTTATTCAATTCAAGTTCTTGTAACAGCACAGCTTGCATTAAGTGTATTTCTATCATGCTATGATACCAACCTTATCTTGCTTAAGCTCCCACATTTTGATGAAACCATCATTTGATGCCGTCACAAGAACATGATGCTCTGGAATTTCAAAACTGAACATGTCTTTTACCCTAGGATAGAAATATGAATGCATAAAAGACCTCTTCTTCCAAAGAGAGAGATTATAAAACTTCTAAACAGCCTTGCTTTTTCAGTGCTTCAATTGTTTCGAAACTGCTCAAAGAATGCTTTAAAATACGGTGACTCTACTAGTAAAATAGCTCACCAAATATAGGATAAATTGAAAAGATAGAAACTAAATATAATTGAGTTATCTCAAAGGAAATAAAGATATTTAAAACGAAGACCTTCACTTCAAGCAAGTTCAGTAAGGAAAGACAACAGAAATGAGTCCAGCCGTACTAGATGCACTGAGGGAAGTGGATTTCCTTCATCTCCAGCATCACCACTCAAGCACTAAGTTACTTTTTTCTTCTGGGTTAGAGAGGCTGCTCAACTGGCCTTTTGGCTTCCATTTTTGTACACTAACAGTTTCTTTCTTTCTTTTTTTTTTTTTTTGCCGGTCATGGGGCCTGAACTCTGGGCCTTTGCGTTGTCCTTCAGCTCTTCAGCTCAGGGCTAGTGCTCTCCCACTTGAGCCACAGAGCCACTTCCAGCTTTTTCTGCTTTTGTGGTGCTGAGGAATCAAACCCAGGGCCTTGTGCATGCAAGGCAAGCACTCTACCACTGAGTCACCTTCCAAGCCCCCTAACAGTTTCTTAAATGGAAGTAAAATCATGTTACTTTAGGCTTAAAAGCTCCAAGAACTAAACATCTATTTTAAAATAATATGAGAAAAGACAAAATGGCTGTGGATATAGATGAAGCAAGACTGATCCTAGGCTGGAGGCATGGCTCAAGTGGCAAAGTACCTATCTAGCAAGTGTAGGGCTCCAGGTTCAACCCCAGTACTGCCAAAAAAAAAAGGGGGGGGATGTAGTTCAGTGGTACAGTGTCTACTAAATGTATTTATTGCTATCATCAACCACTCTCTCTGGGTTTTGTTACCTAGTACAGTAGGTTACTTGGGATGTTTAACAAACACTTGTTGGAATGAACAAACAACAAACAATGGCTAACTATTATTAAGAATCAGGATCAGAGTCAGGCCCAGTAGCTCATTCCTCTATAACCCTAGCTACTGAGATCTGAGGACTGCAGTTCAAAGCCAGCCCAGGCAGGAAAATTTGTGAGACTCTTCTCTCCAATTCATACCAAGAAGCCAGAAATGAAGCTGTAGCTTTGAGCAAAAAAACCACAGGGACAACAACACCCAAGCCCTAAATTAAAGCCCCAGGACTGGCTCCAGGAAAAAAAAAAAATCAGTATCATTTGAAATGGCCTTCTTAGAATGTGTTTACCTCCCACTAGAGAGGAAAAATAAAGCCTATAGAATTACTGCAGGACTAGGAGTGAGTATTTACTAAGAGCTTTCCTAAAATAATCATTCTTTGGGAAAAAGTTAACTTATCTGAGATACAGGAAAATATGCAGGTAGCAGTATTAAAGCAGAACTCTATATTATCACCTTTCTTAAAATTACAGAGAAAGAGGCTCAGGGAAACTGGATTTGGCTCCCTTCAGATTGCATAACAGTGAAAAACTTATTCTTTAGGGACATGGTATCTCAACTCTAGAAACAGTAAAAAATACTAAAAGATGGAACTCAGGGCTGGGAAAGTGGCTCAGTGGTAGAGTGGAGGCCCTAAGTTTGATTCCTCAGCACCACATAAGCAGAAAAAGCTGGAAGTGGTGCTGTGGCTTAAGTGGCAGAGACCTAGCCTTGAGCTGAAGATCTGAGGGACAGCACCTAGGCCCAGAGTTCCAGAGTTCAGGCCCCACACCCCAAAAAAAAGGTTAGAACTCAATAATGTTATTTTTTCCTGCAGGATAAAAACTAGCATGGGAAGGGAAACTAAAAAGGGGCAAGATGATCAGAGCAAAACTCAAGATGGTTTAGTTTTTTAATTTGTTCAAATATGTCTGACTTAGGTTCCATGTCTAACAGACTTGTTTGAAAAAAAAAGTGTAAATGACTAGCCTTAATCACAACTTTACCATTTTTGCAGGAAGGCAACATTCCAATTCCAGGAAGGTAACCTTTTTCTACCATCTTCTTAAACTCCAAATAGTTTATATATGTTTAGGCATGTCTGATTATTTCTACAACTGTTCTTAGGAATAGTGTTTCATAGAATTATTATATATATATAATCTTTATTAAGACTCTTTGTACACTGGGACTGGTAAAAATACCTGTTTTCATGAGCTTTAAATTCACAGAGGCACGCTAGTGAATCACAGTCAAAAAACTTTACAGCATCTTCATCTCCAGCTACTGCAAGGACAGAGTCCTAGGAGTGAGAAAAAGAAAGACTCAGAGTGTCCAAACAATTCTGACCATATCCACAGTTCAACACCGATTTCTGATGACTTACTGAAAGAAAGGTAATAGAAGAAATCCTCTTTCCATTTGTGATGGTGCCACTAATAGACGCAGTGTCAAGCTGATAGATATCTATTTTACTCAGTATGACAACTACGTATCTCTCTCCCCCTGGTGACCACTCCACGATGTGTGCATCTGTATGTTTAAAAAGCCAAATTTATTTATAAGATGAAATCAGGGTCATATTAAGAATAGCAAATATTTGTACTGCATATTTTCACAAGTTTCCTCTTTCATCTTCACACTGAATATGTGGTATACAATTCCCAAGTTAAATTTTAGATAAACCAAGCCCAAATTACTAAAGAAAGTTGGTAGCTGGACAACTATGGTTCACGCCTGTAATATTAGCTACTCAGGAGGCTAAGATTTGAGGGTTGTGGTTCAAAGCCAGCCTCTGTAAGCAAAGTCTATGAGACTCTTATCTCCAATTAACCACCAAAAAACCAGAAATGGTGCTGTGGCTCAAGTGGTAGAGCGCTAGCCTTGAGCTGAAGAGCTCAGGGACAGTGTCCAAGCCCACAGTTCAAGCCCCATGATCGACAGGAAGGAAGGAGGGAAGGGAGGGAAGGGAGGG